GGTTAGGGTTGCTCATATTTTGATTAAAATTTTTATATCTGTGTTTCTGAATGAGATTTTGCATATACTGTCTTTAGGGGTTTGGGCCACGTTAGCTTTATTTTACTTATTTATTTATTTATTTTGAGACGGAGTCTTGCTCTGTTGCCCAGGCTGGAGTGCAGTGGTGCAATCTCGGCTCACGGCAACCTCCCACTCCTGTATTCAAGCGATTCTCATGCCTCAGCCTCCTGAGTAGCTGGGATTACAGGCTCCCGCCACCAGGCCTGGCTAACTTTTGTATTTTTAGCAGAGATGGGGTTTCGCCATGTTGACCAGGCTGATCTTGAACTCCTGGCCTCAGGTGATCCGCCTGCCTTGGCCTCCCAAACTGTTGGGATTAGAGGCATGAACCAGCATGCCCGGCCCCATGTTAGCTTTAGTATGAATCAGTTATGGTACCCTCTCTTTATTTACCCTGTCTATACACTATACTTTAGAGAATACTAATTTTTAAAATCTTGTGGAAAATAACATTTATTCCTTTATTAAACATTTGGTTGAATTTTCAAAAAAAAAAAAAAAAAGAAAGAAAGAAAGTGAAATACCCAGGCCAGGTGTGGTGGCTCACAACTGTAGTCCCAGCGCCTTGGGAAGCTGAGGCGGGCGGATCACTTGAGGTCAGGAGTTTGAGACCAGCCTGGCCAACATAGTGAAACCCCCATCGCTACTAAAATTACAAAAATTAGCTGGGTGTGGTGGTGCACGTCTGTAGTCGCATCTACTCAGGAGGCTGAGGCAGGAGAATCACTGGAACCCAGGAGACGGAGGTTGCAGTGAGCTGAGATCACACCACTGCACTCCAACCTGGGTGACGGAGCGAGACTCCATCTCAAAAAAAAAGACAGTGAAATACCCACCTAATACATTGCAGCAAAGAACGAATATCAAAGCTTGGGCGTCAGAGGGCCAGGACCTTGGGGAGGCCAGGCTGTTTGGGAGTAGAGGGTGTGTGTGGCTCCTGCAGCTCTCACATTCTCAGGAGCCAAAGATGAGCACCTGCGGCCGGGAGGGAGCCAGTGGGCTTCTCCTCTTCCAGCGCCTGTGCATGTCTCCATCTCTGTGACAAAGCAGAATGGTGGGCACTGTGCCCGCTGACAGGCACCAGAAAGCCCATGTGAGCTCCCTGGAGAACCGCCAAGGAGAACATGCGCTAAGGAAGCTCAAGGGCCGCGTGTGGGCTGCCGGGGGAGGTGGATGGGGAACCGTCAGAAAAGGAGGAATTCACTCCTTGCGAGGCTGGCACGACTTTCGTTCTGTCTCCTCTGGTAGCCCACGCCAGGCGTGAGAACAGCCTTTGCCCTGGGGATGAGGGTTCTCCCACCAGCCCTCCAGAATTCCCTCAGACGACCTCATGGCGAGGCTCTGCAATGGGGCGTGTTCTCCACTGTCCGAGTGATGGCTCCATACTGGCCTGGTTAGCCCCTGGCCTTTTCCTACCCCACGCGTGCTAATCACCCCCCTCCAGGTGGTGGCCGCTGCCTTCACACCAGCTGCAGCAGGGAGGCCTGGCTGGGGCCACACACTTCCGAGCGGGGCGGGCGCTCCCCGGGTGCCGCTGTAGCCACCCAGACTGTGACTGCAGACCCAGGCCGCCTGCTCTGCAGATCAGGCAGGATCCCCACCCTCCTGTGTGGGCTACAGCCGCCCAAACTGCAGCTGTGGGTCCGAGCCTCCCTGAGCTCTTGGGTGGGAGCCGAGGACAGGCGGGATCTGCCCTTCCGCGTGCAGCTGCAGCCGCCCGACCCACAGCTGCAGACCTCGGCCTCCTGCTCCACGGAGGAGGCAGGAGCCAGGACAAGCAGGAGCCCTGCCCTTCCAAACTGACGGGGCAGGAGCTCCCCGGGTGCGGCTTCGGCCACGCTCCCAGGAGCAGGACCCGGCATCTGTGCAGCCTGCACCTCCGGGGCCTGGGAAGACCCAGCCCCCCAACCCCCATCCCTGCAGGCTCAGGGGTTCTGGTCCTCACTGCCTGGCCTCTCTGCTCCCAATCTCGGAGCGGGGTTGGGGCCTGGCCAGGGACCACGAAAGGCAGTGGGAGGCAGACAGAGTCCCTGGAGGGAGAAGGCAGGTCCCCAGCAAGGCCAGGGTGGGTCTGAAGGTCGGGCCCCCCGTCCCTGGGACCGGAGTGGGGCCTTGTGGTGTCTCCCTCTGGCTGCCCGTGGACCAGTCCGCATGCACTTCCTCCCCTCAGAGGTGCATAAAAGCGCCAGGCTCAGCCAGAGCAGGGCAGAGGATGGAGAAACAACAGGATGACCAGCTGCAGAGAAAAACTACCCTCTCTGCTGAGAGCTTCAGAGACCTGCAGAGGCATTCCGGACAACCTGCCTGTGGAGAGGAGCCGCTGTCTCCAGGGCCTTCTGTCTGCTGACAGCAGCAGGTGGCAGGAGGACCAGCGGGCAGAGAGGAGCTGCCCTCTCCAGGGGCTTCTGTCTGCTGAGAGCAGCAGGTGGCAGGAGGACCAGCGGGCAGAGAGGAGCTGCCCTCTCCAGGGGCTTCTGTCTGCTGAGAGCAGCAGGTGGCAGGAGGACCAGCGGGCAGAGAGGAACTGCCCTCTCCAGGGGCTTCTGTCTGCTGAGAGCAGCAGGTGGCAGGAGGACTAGCGGGCAGAGAGGAGCTGCCCTCTCCAGGGCCTTCTCTGCTGAGAGCTGAACACTCAGTGGGACGGGAGGACTTACCTACAGAGAGGAGCTCGCTGCAGGCCACCTCTGAGCTGTTCCAACATTCAGTAAAGCTCCTCTGCATCTTCTTCACCCTTACTTCTCCGTGTACCTCATGACCTCATTCTTCCTGGAGGCGGGACAAGAACTCAGGTGCCACAGAGGTTTCCAGGAAGAAAATTGACACCCCAAAGATCGCACACAAGGACAGATGAGGGTCCGTTCTTTCCAGTGGCACCTGTAGCCTGCCAGGGGTTCAGCACTTACCTTCCTTTTGGATCTGAGCCTTTATGCATTTACTGGGTCTTGGAATGGGAGGTGCGGCTGGCAGGGTGCAGCTGCTGGCTACAAGTTTCCTACTGCATGAGGCACCTGACATGCAGGCGGTGGTGGCAGGTGGTGTCCCCCTCCCGCATCCCACCAGGGCTGTGTCTGGGAGTCACAGAAGTGGACTCTGCCCATTTCTCTCTTTCTTTGCATTTCTGCTGTGACAATCTCACCTTTCCCCAGGCAGCATGGAGGAACCCAACCTAAGGGCAATGAAAAGCTTAGGCCATGTTCTCATTTTTGAGCAGCCCCTCTCTACAAGTGCAATTTCCCTTCTCTTTCACTCCCCTGTGTGGCATGCAAGGGCCTCTGCAGTGTGGTCCCATCCATTTCTGTTCAACCTTCCCTTCCACTAGTGAGCCACACACTGGCCTGGCCAGCCCGGAGCCTTTTCCTACCTCCCACGTGCTAATCACCTCCCTCCACGAAGAATGTCTGTCCTCCCGGGCTGCCCCATTGCTTCCCTGATCCCACTGTTTATGCAGCATCCATTTTCAGTATACCTTGTCCCTGAGCCCTCCTCTGTCTCCCCAGGCCTGGGGAACTGCACCCACTGTTTGAGCTCACTGTTCAGCCCCTTTGCTGTCCTAGGGACATCTTTCCACATTAATAAGCCTGGGTGCCCAGTCTCGCCAGCCTGTCTGAGCACGGACAGTCACCTCCAGGTCCATGCCTATAGCTCGCTGGCTCCTGCCTCCCTCCCATATAGAGCCCTGCCACCTGCACAGGCCCCTCTCCAAACACAGGCCCTTCTGGGAGTCCCTGCGGTGTCCTTCTGAGGCAGAAAAATTAAAAATACATATGCATTCATTTACTCCAAGAAAAGTAACAGGCAAGGCAAAGGTTAAAAAGAAAACAAGTTTTCCTCTGCCTAGCAAGCTCACTTCAAGGACAGATAAGATAACGCTGTCCAGAAAACCAAGGCCAAAGGAATGGGCTCCGGACACCTCCCGCCCCACTTCCAGAGCAAGGTTAAAGGAAAAAGAAAGAAAGGCAAATTCGTTTACTGTTACTCTTTCCTCAGGCTTCTTCAGCGTGATCGTGTTTTACGAATGTCTGTATTTAGTCAGTTCTTGTTTTTCTTTCAATGCAGCTACAAGGCCACCAGCTATGCAAGGCCATAAGTTATGCTGTGCTATAGATTATGTGACCTATCATATGATTAACTGCTTTTGTTTTGTTTATCGTAAGTCCACTTACAAACACCCCACCCTGTCTTTGTTTAGGGCTCAGCTTTTTAGACGTGAGTCCACTGAGCCGGTGTGTATCTAAAATAAACAATCCTCCTGATTTTCATATCCGTCTCTCCGGTCCTCAGTTTACCACAATACTGCATGTGTTTGAGCTGCTCGTGCCTCAGCTCTGGCCTGTTCCCTGGAGGGGATGTCAGTGTGGGCTGCAGCTGGGTGGCTAGTGCCTCAGTCCACTTATGCCCAAGTCGCACCGTGGCCTACAGTAAGATGGGGTGGGCTGGGGTGGGGTAGTGCTTGCTGCTTCTTTCTTGAGCTCTGCTCCACTAGAGAAATCCCAGTCCAGCACCCCCTGCATTTCCAAGCTGCACGCGAACAGGTTTTGCAGGCTGCACGAACAGCAATGCCCCCAGGAGTTACTCCTTACTGACCTTGCCCTGAGGAGAAGGTTATGGTGGGTTAAAAACTGGGCGTCAGCCCCTTCCTCATGCTTAGTTAGTGGAGATTGCAGTCGACTCTCTTTCACGTTCGGAGACTGCCCCCCTGCCTCGCAGGAGTCCCAGCTTCACCGGCACAAAGACCCTGCACCCAGCTGGAGCCTTTTCTCCCCACTTTGAGCCTCTGCAGCTGTCACTCTCTACAAAGCTCTCAGATACCTTTCCCCTCCTTCTGTGACCCTGGAGAGATATTTTACATGAGAATTCAAGATTTTTCTCAGAGACAGGATGTGACAACTTCCTTGTATTGTTCTATCCACCTTGGTTTTCATAGCAAAGGGCAGAGAAAACAGCATATATCTCTGGGAGGAAGATGGATAAATAATTCTCACACATGTCCTGGCCTCTGGAGCTCAGCTGCCAGTCCACGTCTACGGAATCTTAGCATCTAGGACCAAGACACTTCACAGCGATCATCACCCTTTGCAGAGGAGGTGAGATCACCGGGACTCATCTGCCATTGCAGACCTTTTGCTGCTACCTGACAGGTAAGTGGCTCATTCTCAACAGCTGCCTACACCTCCACTTTTCAGAAACGGCAATCAGAAAATGAAGGTGGGAGGCTTTGGGAGGGCGTACAATTAGTGGCAGCATTTTATTATCCGAGCTTGGCTGCAGCGTGGGATGTTCCGAGTATGGCCAAGAGGAGATGTCGACGCCCGTTTAGGTAGGCCCCATCTCAGGAGGCAGGATCCTGATACATCCCATTGCCCCTCACCAGATGAAAAGGATTTCAAGCCTCATGGCAGTTCCCTTCTTGGGGCAGTCCATCTTCCGTAGAGACTAAGACGGTGGAAATCCTCTTGTGGACCTGTTGAAATCGAACCAGTGCAGGCAGTGGGCACTGGCTGGGGTCTGCTGGGGGCAAGGGCATTGCAGGGGTGCCAGGGAGGCCAGTGGGAGAGGACCAAGGCCCCACTGACACCTGGGGACTTGCGGCTGGGGGAGTGGAGGATAGGAGACAGGCAAAATTCACCAGTTCCACAGCTTACAGAAGTAGCAAAGCAAAGACTATACTTTCAGGGATAATTTCTATACTTTATTACTAGAGAAGTTTTCCGCTCTGGGACCCCATAGTCTCCTCACACACACGCAGGGCAAAAAAAATGCCTCCTGTGTGTGGGAGAGCAAGTGACATGACATTTATTAATAAAAATGGATTTTCCTGCCGGGTTTCCTAATGTGGTCGTGTAAGTGTTAAACATAGTCTTAAAATTATGTCAGGGAAAGCCGCAAGGTTTTGCTCCGCCCCATGGAGACCCTGGGACCGCTCAGGGCAACACCAACAGCTGCACGGCAGGCGAGGCAGTCCTGTGGGAGGACGTGGCCTTTGGACACTGCCAGGTTCGGAGATGTCCTTGGGAGATTTACCTTTTTGTCAGGAAGACAGTGTTAAGTTCAGGGAAATAATTATATGTGTGGACAGAATCTGAAATATACCAGTATAGTAAGAGTGAGAGATTGTGAATGTGTAATGCAAACGGAAAAGCAGGTTTTATTTTGTTAAGTTATTCACTAGGGAATCAGCTGAGGTTCCTTCTAATGCTCTTTTTCTCCAATCTTGCTGTGCTGAAAGTTGCAGAAAAGGACGTGTGTAGAGAAAAATGGGACACTTCAGGGTGGATCAGAGGACATCAATCCATAGTGATTCGCATGAGTTTGTCAGGTGGAAGCAGTGATTTTTAAGTCACTGATTAAAAACAAACATTCCTAAGTGTATTAGGGAGATGCCGTTTATTTGTGAATCAAAAAGCTTTTTTCTCAGTCTCTTAAATTATGGTTTTCATGTAATAAGAATGATTTATATTTTTAGTGAAAAGTTGTTTTCCTTTCAAACACAGACCTTTTAAAAAGACTTAGCTTGAGTAAGTACCTTTCATTCGATGCTTTTCTTGTGCCTCATCTTAGGAAATCTGGAATAGTATTCGACAGAAATTATGTTTTCAACTTGCCTTTGACATCTGTCCCACTGCATTTTGCTTTAAAATTCTTCATTTAACAATAAATTATCTAAAAAAATAACAGTAGCAAAGCAAAAACTACTCATCTTTAAAGACAGACTCAAGACTGAGGGACCAGAAATCAAAATAACATCAGGGTTGTTTAGGAATTGCAGGTGCAGGAGGAGAGAACAGGAATGGAGTGGGCTGGGGGCAGTGAGAGAGCAAGAAGAAAAAAATAAAAAGAGAAGGAGAAGAAAGAAATGGGCTTTTGCTGGGTGCAGGCGGTGACATTTCCCAGGACACTTATTTCTCCCTGTGCCTTCCGGAGGGAGCAGCCCGAGGCTCCTGGGAGGACGAAGAGCAGGTGCGCGCCAGCAGAGCTCAGCTGCAGCTGGAGGATCCCTTGGCGGTCCTCGCGCACACCGGGTTTCAATTTTCCCCAAATATCCGATGCGTCCAGTCGCTTACTCCTTCCCCAGGCAAAACCTCACCAGGAACAGAACCTGAAATCAATTTACACTGTAATCACAATAGCAGAGAGCGGAAAGTGTTTCCTTCAAGGAGGGGACTTGAACTTCAAGTACAGATTGAGCACCCTCGATCCTTAACTGGAGAGTGAGGTCAGAAAGGGCGGACTCGCGGCAGCAAACGGGGAGGAGCGTGCTGTTCAGTAGTCGCTGATTTTTTCCTTCAGGAACTTGCCAGACCATCTGTCTCTGACTAAAGGCTTTCAAGATGATACCCTTGAGTGTTGGGAGCAAAGGGACCAGGTACATATCCCTCCTGGCTGAGAAGATGCTCTTGACAAAGTCTTAGGGAGACCCTAGTTTTAAGTTGTTTTATCTGGCAGTGGTATTTTAAAGTTTTTATTCATTAGTTGGTTGGTTGGTTGGTTGGCTGGTTTTGTGGCTGGCACCCTGTGAGCCGGTTGCTTCTTCAGTGCCTCTGTGTGATGGCAGGTTAGGGTGAGTGTTTGGTCTGTGGCCAGCTGGTTCCTCAGACGGTCATGGTTTTGGGTAACAGGAGTGACTGAAGGGTGTACCCAGACACACGACACAGCTGGTGAGGAATCTGAATTCGAGAAGCGCAGAGCGAGGCTCTGGAACCGGACAGTGGGGGTGGAACCCCCTCCACCTCTCACCCATTGTGGGCCAGAGCAAGTCACTCAGCTCCCGGGCCTCCGTTTCCTCAGCTATAATTTGGACCTATTAGTAATAATAATAATACAAATACTAATAATACTTGAGGTATAGATAAGTGCCTGATAGGAAGTACCCATTGCATGTTTGTTTTTATTACTGTGAGCATGTGTGTGTGTGTGTGTGTGTCTACAATCCTCCTTCTCTGAGGCATCCATGATGGAAATCACACGGGTGTATCACAACAGAGAACGGAGGTCCCTCTAGCACTTTCACGGTTCTGGAACATCCTGCCCCAATCCCCTGTCCCCGGGAGGTGGCAGCCTGCCCCCAGCCCAGGCAATTGGAACGAGTGTTCCTTCTGCGAGGAGGCCAGCTGTGGGACCTGTCTCGCGCCCCATTACCACCTTATGAGGGGACCTGTGTCACAACCTAACACAACCTCGACTAATTCCCCAGAACCCAGCCCACCCAGATGGATGCACAAACACACTCTGAGCCCCGCTTGGTTTTGGAAGGCACTAGCTGGACACTGACATGCCCCTCCTGGCTTTGCTGTCATGGGGCTCTAACCTGTGTCTAGAATCCAGAAGAAAAGACTGAAGCATAAAGGAAAAGAGAAGGGAACAGAAGAAAGGGTAAGAAGGTGCACAACCAGTGTAGACCCCTTTGCTAGAACCCTTCCTTGCAGCTTCCCCACCTCTCACAGAGAGGCTTCCACCAGTAGCCGCAGAGGGTGAGACTCCGGACTGTTCAGCCAGAGCCTGGACCCTGCCCAAGGCCTCTCCCATGTCCTTGTGTGAATCGGATTCCAATAACTGAGAGCTGTCAACACGGCCCCAATCCAGGGGACCTCCTGTCCTTGAGACCTTCTTGAAACACACCTGGAGCTGTCCCAACCTGTCCTCTGTTTGTCCCCTCAATTTCAGCTCTAGGAAACAGGGCCATCAGCCCATGAGCCTCACGGGCCACCCCTCTTCCCTTGTATTCCTGCCTACCCGGGTCCCTCCCAGCCTAAGGGTCCCTGGGAAGCCTCTACCACCTCATTAACTCACCCTGCACACCCCTCTGATCCTTCGGCCACTGCACGGCCAGCAGCTTTGAGAGTCCATCCTTCACACCTGCTGGTGGCGTTGCTGACAGCATGCCCCGTGTCCTGCGGCCACAGGACACCAGAAACACCTGCCATGCCAAGGTCTCAGAAGAAAAGCCAAGCCGTGGGGGCAGACAGGGAGACAGAGAGGGCTGGACAGAGGAGCCCACCGCGGCCTTCCCCAACAAGGGCACTGTGATGCCATGAAAGACAAGGGGTGCAGTCCCAGAATGAAGACAGTGTGTGGACATTTGCAAGGCAGAGGGGAAGGGGGCGCTGACTTTGATTTCAAGAGCTCCCAGCAACCTGTGGGAGTGGGCACGGGTCTCTTCCATGGTTCAGGCAGAGATTTAGGTCCAGCCAATTATAAAATCTGCCTAAAATCTTGCACAACTAAATGCAAGAGAAATATGGAGAGTTTTGTGTATCTCCAGACTCACTGGCTGCAACACACTCGCTGGTCTTGAGTCATTAGTGGCGCCCAAGGGAGCAGAGCATCAGGAATGGGGGGCAGCCCTTGTCTGGGCTGGGTCTGGGCCTCCTGGGTCACAGATGAGGAAGGGGTGGCTAGATGGGTTGACTCCATCACTGTGGCCCCGAAGATGCTCTCGACAGAGACTGTTACCAGCTGGCCTCCTGAAGGCACAACTCAAGGTCCCAGGCCTGGAGGAAAGTGTCCCAGGATGTCGTTGGGGCTGGCAGGCAGCCACCCGCATGCACTCCACTTCCAAGAAAGCAGAACTCTGTGTTTGTTCCTGTGTTTTGTGGACCCAATGTTCCAGACCAAAGGGAAGTGGGACGAAGGTTGGGTTGGTGGCGGTGAGGCAGGGAGAATGAAAATGCATCTGAGATCTTCAGAGACTGCCCTTTGTTCGAGCAAAGTCACTAAGCCCAGAAAAGTGGGGGGGCACTGAGCCCCCACACATTGTGTGACTCTATTCCTGGCTCTAAACAATAAGCAGCACAGAAGCTGCTTCCTCTGGGACCCTTCAGCCTTGTCCCCTTACAGCTCTGTGAACCTGAGCAAGGCCAGGGATGCCATTAACAGTGTCCCCTGGAAAAATTAGAAGCAAGCTCTCACATCCAGCTAAAGAAGTCAAGCACTGAGGCTTGTCAGGAATTTGAGAGCAAGACAGAAATAACTGAGGTCACAACTGACTTCAGGTCTGATGGAGTGAGTTCCAGCTCCCCCCACCTCTGCACGTCACTCCAGCATCCCTTTGTCCCTCTCCAGGTGGCCCCCACTGCTGACGAGAGATGGTGGATTTCCCAGTCTCCCTGGACTCCTTGAAGCCAGCATCTCTGACCAGAAGTCTAGTCTTCCTCATGCACCTCCTCCTCCTTCAGCCTGGGGAGCCGAACTCAGGTATTGTGTCTGATCTGTAGCCCAGCCAGCCAGGACATGAACGCCACCCCTCCTGCCAGGTGCTCCCCAGGGATAAGATCTTAGAACAGTACCAGGGCGTGCCAGATGCTGAAATACAAAAAGGACTTCAATCCTGGTTGTTAAAGAAACACTACCCCTGGGCATTATCCAGCCTGCAGTGTTCCTCCACGATCTCTCCAGCTCCCACCGCCTCTTGCACACTTCCCAGCACTCCAAAATCCACAGGCATAGCAGGGAGCCGAGCAAGAGGGTGCCAGGAAACCCATTGGCCTGTGTTTATGCTGAACCCATTGATACATGTTTTTAACTTTACCCCTTGCAAAGCTTCTCTCATGAAAGATGTAACCAACAGAGGGTGTAAACTAATAATTCAAACGTGATTTCCTAATTTCCTGGGCTGGAAACCAGGAATACTGGGGTGACCGCAGCATAGCCCAGGTCTTCAGTGGTCTGTAGTTAAGGGAGGGGTGTGGATGTGGCATAAATGGCTGTCCATTTATGTGACCATGGCTGAGAGAGAGAGAGAGAGATATTTGTGTCCAAAGACTTTGAGAGCACAGCTAAGAGTAATGATTTGTTCCCGGAAAGCTGAGGAGAGCCATAGAGAGGGAATACAGTTTGAGCAGAGGCTTGCAGGATGCACATTCTCCAGGAAGACGACAGGCAGGGAATAAGCTGAGGAAGGGTGTGCCCAGGGAAACAGCCAGACATCGGTGTGTGGAGGGACAGCCGGAGAGAACCTGGAGAGGGAAACTTGTCGGAAGGGTATTGGATATTCACCCAGCCGCCAATGAGGGGCCTCAAATAGTGTGAACAAAGGAAGGTCCCTCCATTTCCTGTGGGCCAAGTGCGGGACAGGGGGGTCCATGACAGGAGAGCTTCGGGATGCTTTCAGCTGAACTTGGAAAGAAAGGAGAGGAGAGGTACAGAGGCCAGAGAGAAGAGTGAGTGCCTGTGGGGCGGCAGGGATCCGTGCATGCGGAAGACCCGCGCAGGAGCAGCGACTCTCATGGGAACTGCAGACAACAGACCAGGCCAAAGGGAGCAGAGAGGCCCCATGAAGAAGCCTTCAAAGAGGAGGGTGATCAAATGAAAGAGCCCAACAAATAAGTCTCAACAGAAGGATTTGGTTGACCTTTTGATAAGAAAACCTGTGGAGCAGGGAACCCTCGTAGATGATTTTTGATACCCTTTGTAGAACCTGTACATGTGAATTATTTTTTAAACTCGGAAAATCAGACAAGCAAAAATAAGAAAATATCTATTCTCATCATGCAGAAGTTACCACCATCAGCAATTTGGTGTCTCCTTTCAGATATTTTTCTCTGCACATTTATGCAAATACATATGTTTTTTACTTAAGATAATGTTGTACAGATTATTTTGAAACTTGCTTTTTTGATCAAAGATTCCATTTCACTTCATGCTTTGGTCATATTTACATAATTGTCCCCAAAATAACATTTGTACCTGGTTGGATGAAACCAGTTACCAGCTCAGCACCACAAATCTGGTTGTGATGTCACCTGTGTGTTTAATTGTGCACTCACGTTTTTTCGTAAAAATTACTTGTTCAAGGATCCGGGCCAGTTGTCCTGCAGAGGATCTTACCTTTCTTGTTTGCATGGCTTGCTGTAGATTCCTCAGTTATAAAGGGGTGTGATAACTTTTTTTTTAATTGGATGAGGGTTGCTTTTGCCTGTTCTGACTTGTCATCCTAGAGGTCAAGGTGCTAGGCCCTGAGTATACCGTCCTGGCCCTCGTCGGGGAGGAGGTGGAGTTCCCGTGCCACCTATGGCCACAGCTGGATGCCCAGCACATGGAGATCCGCTGGTTCCGGAACCACACCTCAGACGTGGTGCACCTGTACCAGGAGCAGCAGGAGCTCCCTGGCAGGCAGATGGAGGCGTTCCGGAACAGGACCAAGTTTGTCAAGGACTACATCGCCTACGGCAGTGTGATCCTGCAGCTTCACAGCATCATCCCCTCCGACGAGGGCACATATGGCTGCCGCTTCCTCTCCAACAACTTCTCTGGCGAAGCTCTCTGGAAACTGGAGGTAGCAGGTGCGTGGACTGACCTAACGCCCTGCAGGGGAGAGGGAGATACAAGTACTTTGCCTGAGTAGAGGTAGAGTCACAGGGAATGGAAGAATGTTGGTAATTTTTAAAAAACATAAAAGCTGATGGATAGGTCCATTCGCAAATGAACAAACAAAACAAACAGTTCACCAAAACATACACAAACAGCCCTTAAACATATGAAAAGGCTGGGCACAGTGGCTCAAGCCTTAAGCTCAGGCTTAATCCCAGCACTTTGGGAGACTGAGGCAAGCAGGTCACTGAAGCCCCAGAGTTCGAGACCAGCCCGGGCAACAAAGGGAGACCCCATCTCTTAGCCAGGTGTGGTGGTGCGTGCCTGTAGTCCCAGCTACTCAGGGGGGCCAGGTGAAGGAATCTGGCTGCAGTGAGCTTCACTTGCCACTGCACTCCAGCCTGGGCGACAACTCTGTCTCAAAAAATATATATATATATGATATCATATATGTATTTATATATAATATATCGTATTATATATTATATAATATTTATAAATTATAAAATTTATAAATATATAAAATATAAAAATGTTATATGTTATATATAATACATTATGAGTAACAAAGTTACTCGTAGGGAGAGAAAGGCAAATCAAAGCTACGTCAAAATGCAATTTATTTTTAACTGTCAGACTAGCAAAATTTCAAAAGCTCTTCCATGTGCTGTTGATGGAGCTATGGAGAAGCAAGCTCTCTTGTACCATGTTAGTGGAATTCAAAGTTGGAAAGCTCCAGGACAGGGGAATTTGGTAATACTTAAGAGGACTAGCTGTGTGTCTACCCTCTGACACAGCGATCCCACCTCCAGGAACTTACGCCACCTCCGACACCTCCAATATGAAAAAGCATATGTATGAGTTTAATCTTTGTAAAGCTTTTTAAAAACAATTGCAAAATAGTGGAAACCACCTAAATGTCCAAGCATAAAAGCTGAGTATCCTCTATCCACCCAGTGGAGCAATCTATATTATGTATTATGCGTCTGAAACAATGATGAGGTGGTCTCTGAATGGATGCAGAGTGATTTCTAGTATTGTTAAGAGAGAAAATGCAAGGTTCAATAATACATAGTTGCATGCGTAAGAAAGAAGGAGAAACATTGCAAAAAGGAACATAGGAAGGATAAACAAGAAATTAATGAAATTGGTTACCTAGGGTGAGGTGTGATGACATGGAAAGGATGGAGTTTTTTTCCTGATATACATTTCTATACAGCATTGTCATTTAAACCACATTAATGTTTTGCATACTCAAAATATAATGCTAGTTCCACAAGGATGGAGAGATAAAGGAGTGTGTATGACGCAGTGGAGCTGGAGCTCTGGAGGGATTCAAGAAAAAGAGAAGAGTCACAACTCGAATGTATTAGAATTTAGGGTGGTGCTGTTCTTCATTCTAGGAAACTGGCCCTTACCTGATATGATTAAATGCCAGGAGCCCTTCCCCACCCAATGACCCCCTCACATTTCCAAATGTCCCTGAGGGGTATTATTGTCTCCATATGCTACCACTGATTTAGAGTCATTTCCAGCATTTCCAAATGTCCCTCAGGGGTATCACTGTCCCCACATGCAACCACTGATTTAGAGTCATTTCCAGCATTTCCAAATGTCCCTCAGGGGTATCACTGTCCCCACATGCTACCACTGACTTAGACTGTCATTTCCAGTCCATGGGTGGGGAGCTGCAAGCCCACACGTGTCTTAATAGCAGCCACACTTCATGATGCTTTATGGTGACTACAAATGGTGAACAGTGGCATGAACTTTATACGTGATTTCTCGGAAGGACCCTGATCTTTCCCACTCCTCCTGCCTCCGCCAGGGCTGGGCTCAGACCCTCACCTCTCCCTTGAGGGCTTCAAGGAAGGAGGCATTCAGCTGAGGCTCAGATCCAGTGGCTGGTACCCCAAGCCTAAGGCTCAGTGGAGAGACCACCAGGGACAGTGCCTGCCTCCGGAGTTTGAAGCCATCGTCTGGGATGCCCAGGGCCTGTTCAGTCTGGAAACATCTGTGGTTGTCCGAGAGGGAGCCTTCAGCAATGTGTCCCTCTCCATCCAGAATCTCCTCTTGAACCAGAAGAAAGAGTTCGTGGTCCAGATAGCAGGTCAGTGGTTGTCAGCTCACACCCGTCTTCCTAGTCCTCACGTCTACATACACATTGGCCCAAAGGCAGTCTATAAAGACACAATGGTATTGCGCCTGTCTGCGTATAGGGTGTGTTGGCCTTGACACCTGAAAAGTCAGTAACCTGGATATTAGGAACACACTAAGAACACTGCTGAGACCCCAAACAGTCAGTGAGAGAGGCCCCAGAGAGCCCACCTTTCTGTGCCTAAGGCCATACACTAAAACCCAAAACTCTACTCATCAGAGGCCATCATGGGAGCCAATAGATTCGTCATGCTATCTCCCAAACAGTATTTATTGAGTTTCCGCAATGTGACCCCAGTCCCTGCCCTCAGGTCCCCATGCCAGTGGGAGATACAGACAATAAGCAAAAGAAGTGCATCCTGTCACATCACGTTAGAAGGTGGTAGGTGCAGCCGGGCGCAGTGGCTCACACCTGTAATCCCAGCACTTTGGGAGGCCAAGGTGGGTGGATCACGAGGTCAGGAGTTCAAGACCAGCCTGGCCAAGATGGTGAAACCCCATCTCTACTGAAAATACAAAAATTAGCCGGGCGTGGTGGCAGGCGCCTGTAATCCCAGCTACTTGGGAGGCTGAAGCAGGAAAATCGCTTGAACCCGAGGGGCAGAGGTTGCAGCGAGCCAAGATCCGGGCGACAGAGTGAGACTCTGTCTCAAAAAAAAAAAAAAAAAGAAAGAAAGTGGTAGGTGCTGTAGAGAAAAATGAAGCAGGCCGAAAGTAGTGGGGCCTTATGTTTAGTGAGAGAAAGGCAAATCAAAGCTATATTAAAATGCAATTTTTTTAACTGTCAGACGCAAAATTTCAAAAGCTCTTCCACGGGCTGTTGATGGAGCTACGGAGAAGCAAGCTCTCTTGTGCCATATTACTGGAATTCAAAGTTGGAAAGCCCCAGAACAGGGGAATTTGGTAATATTTAAGAGGACTAGCTGTGTGTCTACCCTCTTACAGATAAGGCACGTCCGGGAAGTGGGTGTTTAGGCAGCGAGCTGAAGGCAGGGTCATGGTTAATGTCTTATTACGAGGCAGCCACCAAAGGGTTTCAAGTTCATGGTTCTAATTGTTTTACATTTTCAGGACAAACCCAATCTATGGGCCATTTTTCACAGAGTCCAAATCAATAGCTATTTTATTATAACAGAAAAGAAATCTCACCCTTTGATATAGTCGGTCAGATACAAGCCAATGCATACATGTTCTCTAGATAAATGATAACTTGTCTGCAAGTAGGAGGACTTGGCAAACCACTTATCTCACACACACACACACACACACACACACACACACACACACACACACACACACGGTTCTAAATCTCCTGGGAATTGGGATGGCCATCTGTGTGAGCCAACTGTCTTTAACCAAAGGGAAAACAAAGCATGTGATATGTCTACGGCAAGCCTGTAGTTACAAGTTGGAGCCAGGCAGCTAAGCTAAACTCCCATGAGACAGGGATCTCCCTGGCAGTGCTCTGTCTTTCATGTTTGCATTTCAAACACGCCGCCCTTAAGAAAAACATTCTTGGGTTGTAAAGAAAGAATTGATACATTTTCTAAGGAAAATGAACTAAGAGAGGGGAAGAGGGAAGTGTCTCTCTTTTTGCACCAGGAAAAACAAAACACAATATTTTCTTTTTAGCTTTTAATATAAATCTTAATTTATATTATTTATATTTATTATGAAACTTGTTTATATACAAATTTTTAGATGGGTAAATGTTTGCATGCACGGACCCCTTTACAGAGGGCATGATTCACATGGATATCTTTGGGAAGGTGGTGGGAAGGGCAAAGCCAGGGGCCTGAGAGGGAAACCTGCCGGCCGCTGGCAGAACAGCCAGGAAGCCAGAGGGTCGAGGCAGAGGGTCACAGGTCAGAGAGACAGTCGGCCCTGAGCCCTTGCTCTTGACCCCAGGCGATTGCTTCACACACCATCTGTTGTGAGGACCAATCCATTGTGACCCAGTGTTCTTGTACCATACAATAAAAATGCACTGCTAGAAAAACAAAAGTAAAAGCCAAAGCCCATTAATGTCACTTATAAGCCAGACACAAAAGAACAAATGCTGTCTGATTCCGCTGATGTGGGATTACCTGGAGGAGTCAAGTCCACAGGGGTGGAGAGAGTATATGGAGGGCGCCAGGGGCTGGGGGGTGGAAGAGGAGCTACTGTTTAATAAGTACAGAGGTTCAGTTTTGAAAGATGAAGAAACTTCTGGAGATGGGCGGTGGTGATGGTTGCACGACATGGTGAGTACACTTACGCCCCTGAACTGTACACTTAAAAACGGTTAAGATGGGAAATGTTGTTCCGTATATTTTACTACAATAAAAAATATGTATTTTTTAAAGATCTGAGATCAAAGCACCATTTTCTAATAATTAGACGACACAGAAAGTTACTCTGTTAAACTGCCACAGCGTTTGTGAAAGGCCAATGTGTTCTGCGCTGGCTGGTGCTGTGGGCGCTGCCCCCGGCCTGGTCCGGCCTCGGGGCCTCGGGGCGGGTCCTGCCTGGGAAGCCGGGAGGGAGGTGGGAGCTGCCAGGCCACGCGCGCGTGGTTTCGTTCTCACTGCTTCCAAAAGCGCGGTAGGAACCGAGGTAGAAGCCGAATGTTTGCAAACAAGCAGGAGACGAGCTGTGGACTAGACAGCGCGGGGGCGGAGCAGGAGCTCCCTGGACGTCCAGCGCCTGCCAAGCCCCGGGACCCTCCCGCGTGGGGCAAGAGTGGGAAGAGGCGGAGCGAGGGCAGCGCGTGGCCGCAGAAGCCGCGAGCGGGGCTGGGGCGCCGGTTCCCTCCCGCACACGCTGCAGCTCGCCCCGGCCCGTCCGCGGATCGCGCACTCGGCTCCCACCTCCACGCGCGTTTCACCCGCGGCTGCCGGCCGAAGGTCCCTCGGGAGGTTTTCCGGCGCGCAGCGGGCAGGCCGGGCTTGCGTCTGGGTGTTCAGTGGCGCCTGAATCGAGACGGTCCCGGGGGGTGTTTTCCAGGCGTGTTTTCTCCCGGAGCCTCTCCGTGGAAGGGCGCTTTGGTCGGGGCCCTGGCGGCGCTGCTGGCGGTCCTCGCGGCGCTGGCGCTGGGCTTCCTCCGGCTGCGGCGGCGATGCCAAGGTACCGGCGCGGGTCGCCCGCCCAGCGGGCTGTGCTGGGGGCAGTGGGGCGGGGAGGGGCGTCCGGTCCTGGACCCCGGGGCACGGGGGCGCCTCCTCCCAGGACGCGGCGCGGGAACGGGGCCTGGAAAGAGCGGGGGGCGCACACTCAGCCTCTCCGCTCCCGTTTTGCCTTCAGAAAAGCTGAAGAAGGAGGCGGAGAAGAGAGAAGGTGAGCGGGGACCGGGCGCTCTGCACCCACCTCCCGAAGTGCCCGCCCGCAGTGCAGTAAATCAAAGGCTCTGGACCCCGTGACGAGGGTTTGTTCCAGCGCAAGGTGTCAGGGCGGCCCCCGGCAGCGGCGATCAGCGCCCTCGGTGGGGAAAGGGAAGATTGTTCATACGGGCAAAAGCGGAGGTGCAGAACGGTTGCATCTTCCACGCAGAGGTTAGTGTACGGTGCCAGGGTTGATTGGCTGCTGTTGATTACACCCTCGGAGCTCGCTTAACATTGCACCGTACAGAGGGAGCAGCGACCAGGGTCTCTGCTGCCAGCGTCATTGCGTCCAGGTTTTCGTGAAGCTCAGGGAGTCGGGCTGATGGGTGACACCTCAGCACAAGGTCAGGAAGCCGCGGTCAGGCACCAGAGCAAACAAACAGCCGTGGTATGTGAGGCAGTGTCCAGGGCTTAACGCTTCCCCTGGACATAGTAAATTTGGAAGGCTCTGACATTTATTTTCACAGTAGCAGGAGGGAGGGCGCTGGGTCACCTTCCTATGGAGAAGGGGAGCCAAGGATGGGCACTTCCCCATCCCCTGCCTGGAGCCTCACTGTCCAGCCCAGCCTGGGCCCCCAGACCACCGGGGGTGGCAGTGCCACATCGGAGGTGTGGCCTCAGTGTTCATCCACCTGTTCTGTCTGCCTCATTCCCCAACCTGAGAGTCTTTCTTCTTTTTTTTTTTTTCTCTCTCTCTCTAGGGAAACTCACTGCAGAGCTGGGTAAGTTCTGGGTGCGGGGCCACAGTGCTGCCTGTCAGCCAGTGGGGTGGACCCCTGTGCCTGTGCAGTGGGAGGAGAGGCTCCCTTTGGACGGAGTCGGCTGGCAACTGTCTAATTCTAGACCATCCCTGTGAGCCTCCACCTCTTCTCTTGCTAAGGGGCTGAAAGGGTGGCTGCCTGCCACTGTCCAGCTGCCTGAGACCCTCCGGACAGACCCTGCCAGCTCCTCCCCTGCAAATTAGACAATTCAGTTAAAATTCCGTCATAAAACGTTTACTGTCTCTGGTTCATCTTCCTAAAATAGCCTTCTCTTTTTAATGCAAATGGCACTAGGAAGGGTGACACCTTTAATTTGCACCAAAATGGGAATAATTTCTCAGATTCACTTTTCTCCCCAGAGGGACTCAGAGACGTGAAACTGTGGAATGTGTCTCTGCAGAGAGGAAAAGAGAGTGAACCCAAGGGAGGGGGAATGGAGGAAAAGGCCATCATGGTGTTGGGGTTGGGGTGCGATTCAGATGAAACTGTAAGGTTGGGGAAGCTTGTCCTGACGTCTACCTAGTCCTTCAAGGGGAATGAAAAAAAAAATAGCCCTAATAAGTCGTTAACACTATAGTCTGAATTGTAAGTCATAATACTATAGTACGAATGCCTCTTCCAGGAGCATTTACCTTTGAAAGAGCTTCACACTAGGTGGACAGATCAAAGGAATGCATTTTTAGTAGCAAAATGTTGGCGTCCTTGGTATTTGGTCAGGGGAAATAATTGGGTGTGATGTCCTTCCAGTCCTTTAAATAATGTACCCAGTAAGTGACCCTGAGGCTCACATAGGCTGCACTCAGTGCCTGGACTTACGTAGGAGCTCTGCCCCCAGGAAGCTTGTGATTTCAGACAGAAGGAACAACCTGAACCCTGGGAAGAGGCATGTCAGTACTAAGATCTGGTTCCCCTTCTAGGCCCTGTGCAGATTTCTACCTTTGAGCTAAGATAGGATGAGGCATAAGACTCCTGCAGGTGGGCCTCCTTTTTGAGGGCAATGAAGGGGCAAAGATGAAGCTGCGGGAAAAAAAAAAAAAAAATGAAGCTATGATTAGCAATGGCTTAAGACTGAGGAAGCTCTTCCCAGTGGCCTCTTGGGAAGATGGTTCCACCCATCTGCAGGCTGATGTTTTCTTTGTGTGTTCTGCCTGCAGAGAAGCTTCAGAAAGAGCTTGGTAAGTGACCCCTCTTAGAACTATTTCTCTTTATTCATCATTTTGCATCTGGTTCCCGATATATCTTCTCATCTCCCAACCAGGTATGATGCCCAGGCAGGACCCCTGCTGGCGGTGTGGGTGGCGGGAGAGAGGGGAGGGGAGGGGACGCGGTGGGTGCAAGATGTGATGTGTGAGCCGGGAAGCTTGGGGTCCTGATGTGCTAATTTCCTGCTTTTCCTTGGTTGCTTCAGACTGGAGACGGGCTGAAGGCCAGGCTGGTGAGTGGAATCCGTCTCTCTCTGACTCTTCCTCATTTATGTCTGAGCACCCCGGTTTAACTCACCCTGATGAACCTATTGGGCTTCATTCTGGTTGCATTCCGCGGCCTCACACAGCATGTGTTAATCTATGTCACTGGGTAGAGGTTATACTCCGTCCTGAGGACTAAGTGTGCTGCAAACCACTAGTTCCAATCCTGGTTACATATCAGAGTTACCTTGACTCCTGGTGCCCATCCTCCAAGACAGACTCATGGTTCTGGCATGAGTGTGTTGCTGTACATGGAAATACTTCTCTGTATACCTCCCTCTATTCACCCATAATGCAGACAGTCTAATGTATATAGTTTGTATATATTCTTGCAAAATGTGAATATCGATTTATGCATATGCATCTTAGTTCATGGAAGTGACATTTATGGTTCTGTGCTGTTCCTTGCTTTTCTCATGCTCACCATGCTTTAATATCCATCGCTGCCACTCGTGTGTATTCAGTCTGTTTTTCCTCCAAAATAGCCCTAATAAGTCGTTAACACTATAGTCTGAATTGTAAGTCATAATACTATAGTACGAATGCCTCTTCCAGGAGCATTTACCTTTGAAAGAGCTTCACACTAGGTGGACAGATCAAAGGAATGCATTTTTAGTAGCAAAATGTTGGCGTCCTTGGTATTTGGTCAGGGGAAATAATTGGGTGTGATGTCCTTCCAGTCCTTTAAATAATGTACCCAGTAAGTGACCCTGAGGCTCACATAGGCTGCACTCAGTGCCTGGACTTACGTAGGAGCTCTGCCCCCAGGAAGCTTGTGATTTCAGACAGAAGGAACAACCTGAACCCTGGGAAGAGGCATGTCAGTACTAAGATCTGGTTCCCCTTCTAGGCCCTGTGCAGATTTCTACCTTTGAGCTAAGATAGGATGAGGCATAAGACTCCTGCAGGTGGGCCTCCTTTTTGAGGGCAATGAAGGGGCAAAGATGAAGCTGCGGGAAAAAAAAAAAAAAAAATGAAGCTATGATTAGCAATGGCTTAAGACTGAGGAAGCTCTTCCCAGTGGCCTCTTGGGAAGATGGTTCCACCCATCTGCAGGCTGATGTTTTCTTTGTGTGTTCTGCCTGCAGAGAAGCTTCAGAAAGAGCTTGGTAAGTGACCCCTCTTAGAACTATTTCTCTTTATTCATCATTTTGCATCTGGTTCCCGATATATCTTCTCATCTCCCAACCAGGTATGATGCCCAGGCAGGACCCCTGCTGGCGGTGTGGGTGGCGGGAGAGAGGGGAGGGGAGGGGACGCGGTGGGTGCAAGATGTGATGTGTGAGCGGGGAAGCTTGGGGTCCTGATGTGCTAATTTCCTGCTTTTCCTTGGTTGCTTCAGACTGGAGACGGGCTGAAGGCCAGGCTGGTGAGTGGAATCCGTCTCTCTCTGACTCTTCCTCATTTATGTCTGAGCACCCCGGTTTAACTCACCCTGATGAACCTATTGGGCTTCATTCTGGTTGCATTCCGCGGCCTCACACAGCATGTGTTAATCTATGTCACTGGGTAGAGGTTATACTCCGTCCTGAGGACTAAGTGT